GGCCGTTTCTGATCTTCCTGATGAATCTTATAGGATAGTTATTTAGCACCAACCAGCCACTCTCCTTCTATCTGTTTCATTTCATCCTTAATGTTTTCTGTTGTACCACTTAGTAATGTTGTTTCTCGATTTGTTAGACAGACACTTAACTAAGCCAGCCTTCACAGACAGATAACGAACAGATGAGATCATTTAAAGTCTAAATATCTATTAAGAGAATGCGTTGGCTTTCTATAAACGCTGGTGTACATACAGTTATCTTCTTCTATTCGTTTTATTTTACAATCTAACACCACAACTAGTTCTCCTTGTTCATTTTCCTATTCAAATGTGAATTTTTCCCTCTACTAGTGAGTTTATATGTGTCGTGAAGCCATTCACTGTTGTCACTGAGCATGCAAAGAAATGGGAAGATGCTTGCAATTGTTTCGGAGGAGGCTTGTGCTATTCGAGTTTATTAACCAGTTCTCTGTGCTCAAAAAGAGATGTGTCACTGAATCTGCCATGGTAATACGTTTTAACTATTAACTGTCATTAGTATTATTAATATTAATAACACTTTATTCTACCTGCTGTTACTATTATTATTCCTGATTCATTTAAAACTATCTTTTATCTGTAGCATTATCTTAACTCGTTTCAACACGATTATTATCATTATTCGGCTTGCAATTCTTGATACATTAAAGTTGTTTCCCTGATGACTAATTGTTTATCTAAGTGATGTATTTGAAGCGTCATGGATTTTACCTTAATTTTAATCTTTCACACTCCCTACTCTTTATCTATTTGAACATGACCTGAAAATCATTCACACATTTGTCGTTTTGCATGATTGATTCAATGTAGTCTATCCGCTTATCAGATCTTATATCTCCCAATGTATTTCCAACAGTATATATATCCCTGTATGTAGAGTAGTATTCGGCCGATGTTTCTCTGTGAAAGGAATGCCGAGAAAATATATTGCACTGATCGCGGCACTCTACTCGAACTCTTGCAGACAGGTAAGAGCTTACGGTGAGCTGTCATCAGATAACTGTGGTGACAACTGGTGGTGTCCGACAGGAATGCCCACTATCCCCATTTTTATTCAATTTCATCATAGATGTACTAATGGACTTAACCCAAACTAACCTCAGAGACTCAGGGATTGACTTGTTACCGTCAGGGAATAATCTCGTTGACTTAGAATATGCAGATGACATAGTCCTTCTAGGTGAAGACACTGAAAAAATACAGACAGGGTCTTCTGAACACCTTGAGCTGCAATCTGAGCATGTTTGCCATGCCGATTGGCTCCTACTGTCAAATGTAAAATGATAAGGCTACAGGATTGACTGGACTACATTGACTCTGTGGAGTCTATTAAACAAAACATTTTAGCTTATCGAATGTTCTAAAGTGGTCGTCAGTAGAAATAAATCGGTTAGAAGCAGTAGAACGAGGTCAGTCAGACTAGTGGAGCACAGAAACCCTAACAAAATGAAGATCGGTTGGACCTAATAAGATAATGAATCTGGAAAATAGCTGTTTTGTAATGCTACATGCATTCACACACAACAATGCAATAGGATGTGATATGATCCCAGTTCTAAAATGAAATTTAACACGGCTGAGGGAGAGATTGATATAACAGAAGTTTTATTAACCGGAGTGACTGAAAATATGCGCAGTTGAAGCTGTTCAACACCTGTCCACCCAAACATCTGGAAAATTCTACTACCATCCCACCCTGTGACGATGAATAGGAAAGAAGAAGAAAGAAAACTATAAGACGAAAGTTTCAAAGATGTACAGTGATAATCAATGATATGGTTATGAAGAAGAATAATCATAATAAATTCCTTATTTTTTCTAATGAAGATACGGGCAAAATATTTGCTACATGTGGAGTGAGACATATCATTTTTGTGTGCTAGGAGGCTTTTAAAGTAGCAAGCTGTTGAAAACGAGTGCAGAATATGAGGATTTCGCGTCAAAAATTCCCCGCACTGCATATTTTTTTTGATATCCACGAAAATATGATATCCTCTTGACTGACTGGAATTACGACCCAGTGAGCGAATACTAAAAACTTTAATGCACAGTCTGCTAAACTGTCCTAATCGCCGTCAACATCAACAACACCACTGACACAGCTGGCACCCAAAAGACAGAAGAGAAAACTGGACTGATGTCAGTGAAATGTATCATTGATATAAGAATAAAACTTGTGCACTGTGGTAGAGTGTAATTCCATTATGGGTAAATTTTGTTTTGATAAAGTCTCACAGTAATGTTTACTGATGACGTTTCGAGCAATAAATTGTGCTCGAAACGTCAGTGAAATGTTTCAGCATTGTGGAATAGATCAAGTAAAGCATAATTATATTTCAATGGTTTACACGCAATCATAAGTTTTTGTTTTTGGTAATATTTCGAGCAAAATTACTACTGTCCATGATCATCACACCGACTGTTGGAATTGTTTCGTTTTTTTTAATTCACACATTTATGATTTGTATATATATATATATATATATATATATATATATATAGTTCATTTTCGTTTTGTTAATTCATTTTTGTGTATTCAGAATTATGTTCCAGGATGTTGACAGTTGTGCTGCTGAGTCACCCTTCTTACATGTTTCCGGTGTGACCTTAATGATTATAGATTCTGTTATTAGTTGTCTCTCTTTCCATTTGTTCATATTCGATTTCAGAATACAAACATTGTTCCAATCAATCAATATTGTGGTTTTTGTCCCATGATGTATGTGCAGCTATAGACCAATTATCTTCTACATTGTTGGAAGTTTGTGAAACTTCCTGTGGGATGACCTATAGTCGGTTAGGCGTTTATGTTCATTCACTCTTATTATGAGTGATCTGGACGTCTGACCCCACATATTTAGTCGCACATTCAGCACAAGATATTTCGTGTGTATATTGCATTACTACTTTTCTCCATCATTTTATTGGATCTTTTAGTTGGTTTATTTTATTTTTAATTAGATTCGTTGGTTTAAACGTGGTGGGAATTGCCTTCCGCCTTCTTGTCATTCTCTGATTTTATCCTCTTTTTTCTCTTCCTTATATTATTTCTGATAAATTCTTTTGGGTAGTTGTTGTCGAGTAGCATTTTGAATAAGACTTTTATTTGATATAAAAATAGAACTTGTGCACTGTGGAAGACTGTAATTCCATGTTGGGTAATGTTTATTTTGATAATGTCTCACAGTATGTTTGTTATGCAGTATTGGCGAATACTGGTCTTTCCCAGATTGTTGAAGCATCCACTTGGTGATGTTAAGGAACACGAGATGTGCAACATAAGTTCTCTTGATAGATTTGTCGAGTCTTCGTTTGACTACCTCTTCTACATCATCTCCTTTGAATGGCAAATTGATATAGACAGATTTCTTTGGAACTGTTTGGATAGTTTTGCAGGGGATCATTTCTTTAGAGTATTTATTCATGCACTTCTCAGGATATCTCCACTCGACGGCCTGCTTCCTCAACGTATACCTGATCTGTCCATCTATTTTTTCCCCTACATATTTGTTGAGCAGTCGGTGGCTCTTGGTTGATTCGTTCATTGCCAGAGTTTCTTGTTGCTAATTCTCTCTGCTAGTCGGCCTACACCGGCTGACTGGCCATTTGATATTCAGTACGGAGCCAGCCAGCCAGCCAGCCAGCCAGCCAGCCAGCCAGCCAGCCAGCCAGCGAAGGGGGCAGCTGTTCATAAAAGTCTACGGTAGTCTGTTGGAAATCCTGTTCGTAACACTCTGGCCAAGTTCTTGACCCGCATATAGAAGAACTGATTGACTGACTTCAAACTGGTGTTGAATAGAGTGCGAATCTTGTTCCTTATGCAGAGGAGTGTAGAAGATTTCCAAATTGGTTTCAGATTGATGGAGGCGTATCTTGGTTGTCTTACGGATTCTGACCGAGTAGCTGGCTAACCTGTGGTTGAAACTTTGATTCCTATTTCGATAAGTGGAGGCAGGAAGTAAGCGCTGTCAAACCTCTCCCATTGATGGTGATTGGTGCCGGTTGTTGTTGCTGTTGGAGGTGATTGGTTGCCTTCATCACCTCTATCTCCTCCTTCTCTATGTTCATTTGGAGTCCTTTCTTCGCTGCTGGGCAACCTCTTCAGCCAGTTTGTTGCCAGTTTTCGCCTGCTTGCCTGCAAGTCTTCAAGTTTGTGTGACATTAGACATATATCGTCTGCGAAATCCAGATCTTCTAGAGTCTTCTCATCGGCCAATGCAGCGTACTTCTCTCTCCTCGCTCCCAACACGCAGTCTGACGCATTTCACTGTTGGTGATAATAGACAGCCAGCTTGTCTTACTTCTGTATTCACTTCGAATGCCTCGTTGAGTTTTCCGTTGTGGATCACCTGTCACCTGGCCTCACTGTCATATAACCAGCCAGCCAGCTTGATGTCGATCAACATAAAAATTCAATTTTTTTTACAAGACTACGGTAAAATTCTTTAAAAAGTATAACTAATCAGCTGATTTTTTTCAACGATTGACTACCAATCACACAGGAATTATCCGTAACAGCGCTACAATTCAAAAAATGAAACAGAAACATTCGTCTGGAAATTGTGCTTTTTTAAAAATTTATATATATTTATACAAGTGAGCTAATCAATGTGAATAGAATTCATTACACCTACAAGCCACCGCACACACGCACACGCATACACACAGACGCAGAGAAACACACACACACACAGAAGAACATAGAACAGATGTGTGCAAACATCGTATTTTCACTACTAAGGCAATAGTGAAAAATGATGCAGACAGGCGAAAACTGTATGTAGGTCTGTCTGTCTGTCTGTATGTATGTATGTGTGTATGTGTAAACGAGGTATGCACACTATGCATACTAAGAAGCACACATTATTACAGAGTGACACAATTTTCAGGTACATTCCGTCTACTACATGATTGGGTGTCTATGCCTTAAACAACACATATGCAATTATGTGCTTCTGTGTGTGAGGTAATAACACGGCTAGTATGTCAACTACTACTGTGACTAATAGTAGTAATAATTCCCTAGTGATTTGAACAGAGAGATCTGCATCAAGTGATTCAAGACGTCGTCGTAGAAGTACGATTGTAAAAAAGGACTATTTTGCAAAAACACTGTCACATTTAAACTAACCCATGGTATGAAATAAACTCAGCTTTTTGTGTTTGTATTTTGTCCATCATAATTGTCAATGTTCATATACATATATATGAATATGTATGAAATATTTTATTCAGTGAGGATTTTTAAATGACACTTGTGTTTGTGCTGTCGATTGCATCACCAAATACCGGCCAACAGCAATAACATTCATAATATATTGGAAATTCTTCTCATGTGAGTTGTTTTTTTGGCTTTTATTGATGTATTCTATTGTTCATATGAGCCAATGTGTCAACAATATTTTACAGAATAGTTCCAAAAAACAAACGAATTGAGCATCGAATGAAAAGTATACTAATTTGTAAAATGTAGAACAACACAGACATTCAAGCGAACAGTGATAATGTGCTTTCAGTTAGATAGATTTCATCATCAGACTTAACTCAGATATGCCTCCACATAACTTTATAAATAAAATTCAAATATAAACCAATCATTAGTTAGAGGAGCATTGGAAAACCACCTGGGAGTCTGGACAGCTGTGTCGTCCTAGTTTGGGATTCTTCAGAAGTACACACTCCCACCATGAGGAGTTCGAACCCAGGACCACTTTCTGGTTACAAGGCGAGTGAGATCGTAGACTATTAAAGCACTGGGACCCAATCCAATGACCAGTCCATGAATTCTAACTTCTGCCAATTCACGACGTAGCGCGACCGCTAGCCAATGTCTTTGGCGAGTATTTGTCCTCACACTCGACTTGCTACACCCTACTGGTCACGACTTCCCACTAGAACCCAGGTAACTACTTACCTGAATAGGGCCAGTCACCAGTGAGCATCTCATCGATACTCAGCTTATGGAAACAGCTGTCCAGTACTCCTTCCAGTTGTTCTCTAACCAGTGTCAGCTTACGATGAAATTCTGTAACCAATCAATCAAATCCCTAAAAATCAATACTCGTATAAACCAATCATGGTGTTTTGTCTATGGGATAATAAGACTGTGCATATATATTGTGCAATTACTCAATAATAAGGATGAAAACGTGAGGCGATCAGTGATAACCAGAATAACGAAAAACAGCATGATTAGACAAACAAATGTTCAGGCAGAAGTAGTCAATAAAGGCTAATATTTGAATGCTGGTTGTCCGCCAGTCGAATTGATGTTCGTGCTTGTCTGAATGCAGTGTGGCGATATGAATGGTGGAGTGGATGGCATGTCTTTTGACGGCTAGTTCATGTTCATCGATACGAAGACGAAGGGGACGTCCACTTTGACCAATGTAGTGTTTTTCCCAATCGTTGCAGCTGATGTTAATTTTATCTTCTTTCGCTGTTGAGTTTTTCCTCTGGTTGGCACGAAACCAGCTTGAGTTAACTGATTTTGTTGGTTTGTGTGCAAAACATAAACAAAGACAAAATTTACCAATCGATAAGAAGGAAATCTCACACACACAAAGGGTCAAACTTCAGGGGTCAAGGAAACAATCAACACCTACATTAATACAAGTAGCCCAAAGTGTGTGAAAACAAACGAAAGTAACCAATCATATTGAAGGTCGCCCACTAGGAGAGATGACTAATAAACTCGTGGAGATATCTTAAAGCTCACTTCAATTCACATTGAAATTTGTGCTCTGAAGATATTGCCTGCCTTATAGGGCAGCGAAAGCTTCACAAATAAACCACCAACCAGCTAGCTCAGAGAAGCCAACTACATCAAAATCACCCGCCTGAGTTACTAATCTTCTCCATCATACAAAGTTTTTAATCCCACCTTCCTGGGAGTATATTCTCCTTCATTCTCAGGTACTTCTATCCATTGAATTTCGACTAACTAATTTTATTCTACCCTGCTTGTTTTGTACTATAAGAATATTCTACTCTTGACAGTGTATAGCTAGCTGCCCGACAGAGAGCAATGTTGAGGTAATTTTGAGTTATTAATATGTCATTATTATTATCATTATTGTTAAATAGCAACATAGAGATTCTAACAACTAAAATAATCGTCTTTCTGTTGTTCTTTGCAGCGTGTTTGTTCGACTCTCTCTGTGTGTGTGCGTGTGCATCTAAAGGAAGTTTGCATCAGCTATACAGTAGGACACAGATGTCAATTTTCTAAGTTCACACCTGAGCGAGTAGGTTTTGGTCGTAACAGTAACTAGGACTGATAACCACAATTCTGTTAGTATAGAATACACGTAATAATAATAATGAATTTGGCACTTCATTCACTGAATAAACGAAACTTAAGACTATCTCTTTAAACCAAGTTCACTTTTAAACAGTTTGAAGAAATTTGGGCATTGGAGGGGTATATGTGATATTCATTATAATAAAAGTTCTTTTTGGATTTCCCAGTGAATGAATGAAAAAGTCAAAATGATATTGTTGTCGTCTCTAACTGACGTTTCGCTATTTAATGCTGCTGCTGCTAATCGCCTTATCAAAGGAGTAATATTAAACCAGAAGAATTTACAAAATCTCAGCTTATATATACACACATAATAACTTAATCATCGTTCATCAGCATGGGGTCATTTTTTGTAGGGGCCTCAACAGTTGTTATTCCATGTAGGTCAGAAACGTCAGACGATCGATATCAGAAGAGTGCTCAATAGGCACGACATCATAGTTTTCTTGAAAACATCAGACACGCACACTGAGAAACAAACCTGTCCATATGAAAGAACAAATCCCTAAGGATTCCCGCTCTAACTGTGTCTACAAAATACAATGCTCGGAATGTGAAGGGATATACATCGGACAAATACCGCTAGAGAGAAATCAAGGTTATCAGAAGAAATGAACACCATAAAGCCACATCTGTTCGACCACCGAGAAGTAAATCCAGTTGAACTAGAAAAGCTTGGAAAATCATCAGCCATAGGTCGCCTACACGCTACGCTACACTATAGAATCAATCAGGTCACAAAATTGATTTTGACAATATTGAAATCATCATCCAGAAATAGTTTCAGAAATCACAAAGAGCGTATCATATCATTACGAGCACTCCACATCAAATGGAGTGCAAATTGTCTGAACTGAATAGGAATGATGGACTAAAACAGAAATTGACCTGGTTACAACACACACCTCCGGTTTCTCTCATGAAATGACACAATCAACACGAATGTGATAAGCAAATTCATTATGTAAACACACGCTGCTTTTATTATTTTATACACTTATCAAATCCAACAATCTACACCTAGTTTTGTTATCTTTACCAATTGGCCAACTTGACAACAACGTAAACAGAATTACCCGCCATGCTGATGACGCTGTTATGTGCATATATAATCTGAGATTTTGTAAGTTCTTCTGGTTTAATAATATCACTCTGATAAAGCTATTAGCAGAAGCATTGAATAACGAAACGTCAGTAAAAACGACAACAGTTTCGTTTTCAGTTTTTCGCCATTCATTCAGAAACACAAAAAGAACTTTTATTAATAATGAACTTATGAACAGAATCTTTAAGTGCATAGTTGTCAAATTATGAATGCTAATAGTCATGATGTAATATACGGGCACACAACACTTTACAAATGTTACAGATGGTTTAATAACAATAAACTCATTTTATTCAAAATACTATCAGACGATAAAAAAATCTGTGATCATTAAGGTTATTTGCGTAGAAGGAATCATGTCTGAGAATAGAATTACATTCTATAACGTTACAACATTGTGTTTTCACTTGGATTTCTAAGCGATTCTGAAATTCGTGTCATTCTGATAGCCCTGCTTAGACGTTGATTTTTGTGGTTGTCGGCATTCATCAGTCAACAAGGCCAATCAGTAAACCTCAAAGGAACTCATGTCTCTGAATCGCTCAATGGTAAAATGTGTGAGTGCAGCACTCTATAAGACGGGGTTCGAATCTTGCAGGGAGGTATCCTGTGGCAGATCACCTCCAACAACAGTTCAGTGTGCAGTGTGATGGTAAGCTGTCTAATCAGATGGACGTATTGCAGCCCTTGACTTGATGGAATTCAGTCATTTAGAAAACAATTCACTGAAGAATATCTCTTCCGATAAATTCCTCTTCTCGCTATACAATTATATATTAGAATACACAGAATATTTTTCTAGAATAATCATCATTACCAGTATCAATGAGTTTTTTTCTTAATACTATCGATTTGTTAAGATGAGTGGAATTACAGAGAGTTCAAGGGAGACGCATAATTTATAACAATGAGTATGAAATGTAATAGTAAACAAAATATCAAATAAAATTAAGGAAATTTCCACTACAACAACAATGAATTAAGGATCATTAAAAAATCAATACTTGAAAATCGATCTGATCCTCACTAGCGACTGGCCCTATTCAGGTAGGCAGTTACCTGAGATTTTGGTGGGAAGCCATGACCAGCAGGGTGTAGCATGTTGAAGGTGAGGACAGTTACTTATCAACGAAGACATTGTTAAGCTGACGCGACATGTCATGATTTGGCAGATGTTAGAATTCATGGGCCATTGGATCGGGTCCCAGCGAGTGGCTGCTTAATGGTCTACGAGATCGTTTGCCTTGTAACCAGAAGGTGCTGGGTTCCAACCTTTTTGGTGGGTGCGTACCGATGAAGAGTCCCAAACTAGAACGAATGAAACTTCTGTTTACTACTCCCAGGTAGTTTTCCAATGGTTCTCTAACTGACCTCAGCTCATGATGAAATCTTCCAACCATTCAAACAAAATCCATACAAAAACCAATACTTGAAGATCATTGAAACCTTGATGACCAACGTAAGGACACTGTCTGAACCAACTACTTTTGGATAAATAAATCAGGTTAGGGTATATTAATAGTATTAAATAGTGAAACGTCAGTTAGAAACGACAATAATATCGTTTTAAGTTTTTCATTCATTCACTGGGAAATCCAAAAAGAACTTTTATAATAATGAATATCACATATACCCCTCTAATGCGCAAATGTTTTCAAACAGTTAAAAGTGAACTGGAGGAGGTTTATTCTGTTGAACAGAGAGGAATATAATGCATGCACACAATATTCATTCATTCGAAATAATCTCGGTAACACACCTCTGATATGCAGTTCTTAGGTAACAGTATGATCGAGTCGAGTCTATGACAGATTAATGAACCCATAACTGAATGAACTGAATCAATCAATAGTATCCATAGGGGAATACAGTTCGATAAATCATTATTAGTAAAAGAGGGAGAGAGATATGAGAATAGAACTTGTGC